GAGAGAGAGAGAGAGGGAGAGGGGAAAGAGGCGGTGGAGATGTGGAATGTCAACAACCTGACGTTGACGTAGCAAAGATTCCACACCGATCCAGAATGAACTGGAGATGATTTGCAATGTAGCAAGAAGTAAAAGGGAATAGTCAACAAGATGGCTGATTTGTCGTGAAAATTTGTCCGACCAGAAAACACCCCCCCAAAAGACCTAGATGGGACAATGAACAGTGAATCAGCTGTCAGAGTTGCCGTCTTATTCTCAGACTCCGAGCCAACCGAAAAATGCCAGGGGGCGAGTGACTGCGCCACAAATCGAAGGGGAATTTAGTGTGTAATATCGCTAGAGAGTCAAAAGGACCTCGAAAAACAGATGGATCTTATCAAGACGTTCAAAGCCAGATGGCCCAACCTGTTATTCTATCCCCTCTTCTCTTCATTGACATCAATCTACTCCGTATGTTGTACAACAATTCAAGACTCTTGGCTTACCCTGGTCATCATTGGTCTGAGCCCTTCATCCGATTTGTTCAAATTCCTGCCTATGAAAGCCTCACCCGAACGTTTGGCCTATGCACGGTGGGTCAATCAATTAACACGAGGACCATGATCCCTCCATTCCAAAGGGACCCGGTCCCCTCTATTGAAATCGTCACGACAACAGACGCTACCTTTTTCCTACCTCTTCTCGATTCAGTCTCTCCTGCATATCCCCAACTTTCCTATCGCTGTACCTGCGAGTTTTTGGCCTTTTTAGGTTCGCTCGCCTCACTACGGAGTACTTGCGCTTTGTAACTTTTTTGGGGTTTTTTTTTCGTTTCCCAGAAACCCCAGTTAGTAATATGGAACTCGCTTGTTTAACTTGGAACGTCTACCATATCCGTTGTCGATATACGGAGGACTCTCGATGAACCTTTGAACCAAAGAAAACTAGTGCCTGACTTGGCCCATGATATTGTCCTTGTCTTCCCGAATGGTTCCGTAGGCCTTGGATATCCTTCTCTGAAGAATACGCTGTGTAGTTCGAAGGAATCGATTCTCCAGTTTCAACATCCAATCTGTGATTCTCAAAAATTCAATACGAAGGGAGCTTTTTAATGCTCTGTAGCATTCCTGGCACTCTCTAGATCCTACGGAATACGAAGCACCTGGGATGATTAGTCATTGAGCACACAATACTCTCCCAAGTTAAAACCACTGGCACAGCTGGCACAGGTCCCACACCGGCCCCATTATACAACGTGTCTTTGCTAAAATACCTCCACTCACGACTACGTATCTTCCAACCATTTAATCGGTACGGAGTACTTTGTACGGAGTAGACTATCATGATGAAACTACGGAGTACGTTGGACGGAGTCCTCCGTGCTCCTTCCGTCTCGGACGTTCCGGTCTATCCATTGGCTCCAAGTCATCTGGACCCAGTACTACGGTCCGCTCAGCGCAGGAATTATGCAGACCGATGCTGAACGGAGCTGATGCGTGTGCCAGGCCCGATCAGAACAAGTTTATGGGAAAAGTTGCAAATGATGAGCGACGTGACGCTGTGTCAGCACTACCACCATTTTCTCTTACGACTCTGTATGACTACAGCTGTTGCCTAAATACTCTCCATTTCACGGAGAATAGCAGGTATCTTTCGATTGAGGGCTTAAGGTGTCCCATGTCTCAAGGCGAGGATTGCCTACGATCCACTCAAATCGTGCACTCTAATAGACCTGAGTCGTTGTATCTCCCTGACTTTATCATTTGACAATTTCTTGTATGATAAAGATAGTGATTGTAGTATACTTTCCCCTCGGTCTGGGGTCGATTTTATCCGCAGATAGGGATGGCACTAGACCACACGGCCTCTCGCTCTTTCCAACCCGACTACGAAGTACACCGGCCGAATCCATAATCCACCGATCCCATCAGCAGTGCTCGTGAGGTCACACAAAGGCTCCCTCTGAAATGCAGGGTTGTAACCTTACGTGCTTAAACCCTGATCTACAGCTACCCCTCTTCCCTGACAGTCACGCAACCCCACTTAAGCCGAGGTCGGTGAATTCAGGATTGGATGTTGGGAGCCAGAGGAGACAGTGTGTGTGTTTGATGTGTTAGATGATTACAGTATAGTTGAAACAATAGTAACATCGAGGAGTCGGAACGGGACGGATCACCAGGTAAGCAAGCTACAAATGGCGATTTGTGTACATAGACTACTGGGACGTACTAACATACACTATAGATGCCTTGGCTCGAAACGCTTGTAGGTCTGCCACCCGGGAAACAGGAATGCAGATGTAATGCAGGTGACCTGCAAAAATGATATCGTGTAATAGCCTCTCATGCAACAATAGGGTGGGACCTCCGAAGTATTGGGCCGAATTTTGCATCTCAGCATCGAAAGCGGTATGTTGTATGCGCAGGGATTGAGATGCCGCCCAATGTTGCGGTGGTCCCACTGCATTTTCTACTATTCTAGAGCATTATATTGTTACCTTGTATGGGGTAGTGTGGCCAGACCACTCACTCCGTCCAGCCACTCAACGCCTTCTAGAAAGGCGTGCACTGGCATAAGCAGCAAGTCTTGCGAGACAGTCCCGAATCCCCGCTGAAGAACCGAAAACAAACACAAACTCCCAACTTCCCTTGACTGATCCATAATCGGCTGTGCATGGTTAGATCGGGTACCCAAGAGAGACCGGGAAGAGCCAATGATTGGTTGGCTCAACTTTTCCTCTTTGCAGGCTAGATCTGGGCGACTGTTGGGTCGTTTGGAAGCGCTGCGGTTTCTGGAAGCTTTGAGTTTTGGGAAGATCCACGTTGCAGATGACATTTTTAACGCCGTACTGCCTGGGAACTTACGGTGATGATAATCAAGAGAATGAGTTGTGATGTCACAGGCACGTGTGGCTTGATGTGATTGCGATCGGTCAGATGGGTTTGTACATTGCATGCGGGGTATACATGAGACAAGAGGGGTAGTCCGGTGTTTGTGCAGTTTGAGAAGAGAGCGAAACGCGGGAACGTCTTTTATTTCCTCTTTCCATGAAAATGACGAAGATTAGAAGATTAGAATCTGTTATAAGTCTCCCTACGGTGTTCCGTACAGAGCACGGAGGTGATGATCGAGTTGCGTAGACGGGTTCACCTACCACGCTCGAGGCCAATGTGGTGCACAGTTTAAGAAATATTGTAAATGTAGATAGTCTAACAGCACCAGGGTTCATGCATCAAGTCACTAGGCGACCAGTATTAGAAACCGTGAATCATCAAGGCGTCCAACCACCGGCGTCAACAGGACCAAAGCCCAGAAGGTCACTATATGTCCAAGGGAGAAGGAAAAACGTAACATCAAGCCACTATGCACGACCAGAGCAAACAAAGGGAAGATTGCCGTTACGATCGATGGGGCCAAAAATTGCAATTTCAAAAAGTTGCTTGATTCCATGAGGAAACACACTCACCCCTTCGCAACTACGTTATTATCCTGCCACACCGAAAGTTCAAGGTCAACCACAATCGGCGAATTGAACCGTTTGATCCCCTTGTGTGGCCAGCGAGTGGACACAGCAGCGGCGTTGACAATACAGGTCTCCTTTCTTAGTGTTTGCTAGACGTATTCAGACGTATTCAAAACCATGGCTACTGGAGGCAGGACTCTGCAAGTTCCGTGGACTTGCCTTTGTAGGAATTCCAGCAGATGACTCTGACCCTGGCGAGACTGTTGATATCAGTTAAGCCTTTGCTAGATTATGCCGTTGTGGCACTAGGCGCGAAAATCCCTCGTTGTCTAGTCGAATATCCTGTTTACCAGTCAAGTCGACAAAGGTCTGTTTCTTGCTGCCCACGGATAGTAGAATGCCCCGAGTGATGTCTTCAGCCGACTGAAATTCTGGCTATGTTCATGTTTCTGTGTTGACAAGCTTGCCTCACTAGCGAACTCGTTCGTACCCTCGCCATTCATGCACATGGCCGCAAACAGCTAAGTGCGGCCTAACAAGGTTCAACGCACTAGGAAGCGCAACACTCCCAATGGGCATTTTGTTCAGCTTCTGGTTGCAGCAAGATCGTGGTGGCGTATGCGTGACGACATTGTATTTGTCAATTGATATCTGACCTCACGGCGCAGCAGCATCACTTGATTCGTGTCCGAATGCCCAGTTTTCTTGGAATTAAGAGCACGGTGAACCAAAGATTCTAAACACTGTAGTTGGTCCGTTCATTTGCGTCAAGCGAATCAGGGCGGGCTCATGGCGAAGTAGAATGATTGAAGGCGACTTCGTGACAAGTTTTAGGCAGTGATGTCGATTTTCGAGTTGTTGGCCATGAAAGCTTTGTCGATGCTCTCTGCAGAATGTTGGTCCAAGGTGACATCGTGGTTGCCTGTTCAAAAGGTTAGGGCCGTTGTGTTGACCTTTTCCTGCTGATAAAATGAAGCACTTGGGTGAGCAGTGAAGATGTGACCTTCATTAATGCCCGACATGAACCAAATGTGACTCAGGCGCGTGAACAACAAATTGCAGGACTGAACACCAACTTTGATTTTTGATCTCAAAGTCGGCCCTGCAGATCCAATCCATTTTGCTACGCAGCTCTTTTAGGCTTCCAATCGTTGTCAAATTGCCGGCATGAATTAGGACTTCCCCTCCTAGTGGTTGGGTAGTTTTAAGCCCGCTTCGGAGGGAGTGTATCCGCGTGTATCTGAGACGCAGACGAAATGTGTTTTTCGTAGCAGAACCTGAGTATGAAGAAAACCCTTGCCTCAAGGTGTAATGAAATCTTCAGGGGACATTAAGTTGGATAGTTGGTGTATTCTGGAATCGCAGACAAATGAGATAAGTTGGAGGTCGAATGAGAAGTCTCGATGCTTATGTTCTTCCTGCGAGGAGGTTCTTTGAAGGGAAAAATACAATGGCCCGACCGTGGACGGGTTCAAGGATGTATTAGTCATCGGAATCGGACCCAACCTGAAGTTGCCTAGATCATAGATCTGGTATCGAAGAGGACGGACGATAAGACATGCTTCTCTACAACAGGGGGAGGGTTACGTGGAAGAGAATGGAACTCCATACTACTACTTGTACATGGTCATATGTTGTCAAAGGTTTGTACCGAACAATAAAATTTTAGGTATCAAGGTCTTCAACCCCCCGTTCCTCGCAACCTTGAGATTATCAGTCGATCTTACAATGCCTTCTAGAACAGGGTATGTCAGCCCTAGGCTGATGCCCTAACGGCACACAGAGCACAGAACCACCTTGACGCACAACATGAAATAGAATTATTACGTAATACAATATCGAGCGGATTTGCGAAAAGACAAACCACGTGATTACATAGCACATGATTGGTCAGGCTTAGGGCTGCGACCCTCGCCATTAACACAAAGTGAGCGGACCCTCGCTTAGCCCATTCTCATCGAGCCATCCGACTTCGTTGTGTGCGTCGACTTGACACCCACGACAACAACCGCCGACAACATCCATCCCACGGGACATTAGATCACCAGGATGTCCTCCTTCGAATCAGTGGTGCGTTTATACCCAACGACTTGAATGCCGTCGCTCTCGATCCTAGAATATGCATATCGAATCCGTCGCTGACTTGAATTGTTTGGAAATAGGTCGTCATCGACGGCAAAGGACACCTCCTCGGTCGTCTGGCCAGCACTGTCGCCAAGCAGCTGCTCAACGGTCAGAAGATCGTCGTCGTGAGATGTGAGGCTCTCAACATCTCCGGCGAGTTCTTCCGCGCGAAGCGTACGTTCAATCCCTTTTCGAATGTATTTCCTATGCGTTTTGTGTGAACTTGGGAACTGTGGGAAGCATTGTGGAGGAAAGAAACGACCGAATGCACCCGAAACTCGAAACCACTTGGCAGTTCCGTTCACAGCAGTTTGACCAACTTTTGGAGGAAAAATGCACTACAATCTTGGTAATAGAAAGCTGACTCGAAACTCCGCCGTACAGTCAAGTACCACGCCTACCTTCGCAAGATGACTCGTTTCAACCCCACCCGTGGTGGTCCCTTCCACTTCCGCGCTCCTTCCCGTATCCTCTACAAGGCCATCCGCGGCATGATGCCCCACAAGACCGCCCGTGGTGCCGCCGCTCTGGAGCGCCTCAAGGTCTTCGAGGGTATTCCCCCTCCCTACGACAAGAAGAAGCGTGTCGTTGTTCCCCAGGCTCTCCGTGTCCTGCGTCTCCGCCCCGGTCGCAAGTACTGCACCGTCGGCCGTCTCAGCCACGAGGTTGGCTGGAAGTACCAGGATGTTGTTTCCAGGTATGCAAAATCTCTAATATATCACCTGAATGTGGTCTATTGGGTCAACTGGCAGATCCTAACAATTTTTTACAGACTCGAGGAGCGCAGAAAGGTCAAGAGCAAGGCCTACTACGAGCGCAAGAAGGCCGCTCGCCGTGTCCTTGCCAAGGCCGAGCAGGGAGCGAACGTGGACAGCAAGACCAAGACCCAGCTTGCTCAGTTTGGCTACTAGATACCTTTAGCGTGGCTGGTTGTTGTGTCGAGCGATGGTTCTGGGATGGAATCGCGGACGGTTTTTTTTCCAGCGAATTTGAATGGCAAGCCGACCAACCTTTGTCTGCGGCCCGGTTCCCTAACTCATGAATACCACTCTCTGTGACGCACATGACTGCTCGGGGACTGGGGTATTCGAAATTTGCCAAAAGTCGAAAAAACGGAGTCGATTGGGATGAATGGTTCAACATAGCTGGCCGTTGACTCGCGCCGTGGCGGTTTAATCCAAAGAGACAATTTTCAAGAGTTCAACATTATTCTTATGATCAAAAAATGCTTTGACGTATACCATTATCCACTCGGTAGCCCTTTTGACTAACGGTCATTCATATGGGATATGTCTTGCCTACATCTATCCCCACACTTCCCCATGTATATCTGTTATTTGTAACCAACATCTACAACGTAAATGCGAACATTTTTTGACCCCATCCACTCAAATTGCGACCAAGTTGGATAATTCCGGGTTGACTCAGCATCCACCGGTTTTGTCCTCACTCAACCTCAAATCCATGATGATTGATTGAGGCGAGAGTATCATGTAGATCAAGGCGTTCCCGAAAACTGAGCTCAGTCCGGATATCCCATAACCGATACCCGAAACGACCCCCCCCCCCCCGCTTGTGATTGTTATAGTCTAGGTAAACACCAGAGTCCCCGCATTTCTCCAATTTGGAGCATTTCAATTCTCTGCAATCATTCCACATAACTTTATCATTATCTCTTGATTCCTCGACGTTGGAATACCCCTTCAGATAAACCTTCGTTTTGTGGAATCTACACTCCCGGACTAGCATGTCTATTTCAAAGTCTCGGTTGTCTGGCCTGCTTGGTCATTTCACAGGTTCAACGCTGCCTATTGAACACCGAGTTAATACCCATCCGCTATCCCCGACTTTCTTTCTTCCTCGTGCTGCTGCCATTGAACCCAATGTAAGATCTTTGCATGTGGTACCTAGGTAGTACTTCCATGGTCTGACCAAGAATTACAGGCTGAGGCAATCTACCATGTAACCACCAACAACAAGATCCTTCGCAGGAGCTACGGTGAGATCGCAGACCGAGCGAGGGGCGTGGCTTACTTCCTCAAGAAACATGGGTTGAGCAGAGTGGGGATACTCTGTCCAAATACCCCAGCATTCCTTGAGTCGATTTTCGGAATTGCCGCAGCTGGCGCTGTCAACATCGGTAACTAATTTGCCTTTGGGGGACAGAAATCAATCAACTAACAAATCTGCAGCTGTCAATTATCGCCTGAAACAAGAAGATATTGCTTATATTTTTGATCATGGTGATGTAGAGGCGGTCATCGTCGACGAGGAATATGTTCCACTTCTGGAGAACTATCGATCCAAATACCCCCGCATTCCTATAATCGTAGATACCGACACTGACGCAACGGAGGGTGAGCTGACAGGTCCCTTCGATGAGGCTGTTTTGGAAGGCCTTAGGTACGATATCGACACAGGTTCTCGGGGCTGGGAAGGACTCGAGAGTCATGCTGCTGATGAAGAGTCCACACTCGCGTTGGCATATACCAGCGGGACTACAGCCCGTCCCAAGGGCGTCGAGCTCACTCATCGGGGCTGCTACCTGGCAACATTGGGAAACGTCATTAAAACTGGTCTGAACCACCACCGCGGACGTGCCCGTTATCTATGGACGCTACCCATGTTTCACGCTATGGGTTAGTGCAAATTCTTCACTTGAGTGATCCGAAAATGACCTGCATATCTAATATGTGTATTTATATATTTAGGCTGGACATTTCCATGGGCAGTCACAGCCGTTCGTGGAACCCATTATTGCCTACGCAAGATAGATTACCCCGAAATCTGGAGGTTACTGAAAGAGGAGCACATCACTCATTTCAATGCTGCACCGACTGTCAACACCTTGCTCTGCAATGCGAAAGAAGCAGAGAGGCTGGCCGAGCCTGTCCGCGTCACAGTGGCAGCAAGCCCGCCAACGCCCCTTCTCTTCGAGCAAATGACCAACCTTAACTTGCATCCTATACATGCCTACGGAATGACGGAGACATACGGCCCGATCACTAGGGGCTACTATTTGCCAGAATGGGACGCGCTCCCTCTCAAGGAGAAATACCAGAAGATGGCCCGCCAAGGCCACGGCTTTATCACAAGTCTTTTAGCTCGGGTCATCAAGACCGAAGTCCCTGAAGGGACCATCGCCGATGTCCGCAAGGATGGCCAGGAGATTGGCGAGATTGTTTTTGTTGGAAATGCCTGTGCCCGAGGATACTACAAGGACCCCGAGTCAACCCAAAAACTCTTTGCAGGAGGCGTATTGCACTCCGGAGACTTGGCTGTCTGGCATCCGGATGGTGCGGTTCAGATTCTTGATCGCGCAAAGGATATTATCATCAGTGGTATGTGTGGCGAGCAGCTCAATTTCCAAGAGTGCAGATTGCTAATAATGACTAGGCGGCGAAAATATCTCCTCCGTTGCACTTGAATCTATGCTAGTCATGCATCCTGACATTTTGGAGGCTGGTGTTGTTTCTGTTCCTGACTCCCATTGGGGCGAACGACCCAAAGCCTTTGTTACGGTGAAGGAGGGCAAGAGCCTCAAAAGCTCAGATTTGATTGACTGGGCTCGAAATTCCAGCGGAATTAGCAAGTTTATGATTCCTCGAGAAGTGGAAGTGGTTACTGAACTACCTAAGACCAGCACTGGTAAAATCCAGAAGAACATCTTGCGTGACTGGGTGAAGGGCTCAACAAAAGCTTAGAGAAACACCACGACTGGATTACATACGTTTATATCGAAACATATGATTAGATTGTGAATAGATGTGGGAGATATTCTAGAAGAAAGCAGGGCTTCCCTACAGTCCAATGTGATCAGATGTCCAGAATTCTCGCATCGAGTAACCGATTGTAGATCAAACACAAGTTCACATCAAACGACTTTAGATACTTCTTGTCTTCACCTAGCTCAGCAAGCCACTCTAATCCATGTTTTCTTCTGTAGAAAGATTTTATCTTCAAATTCCATCAAAAGGGCTATACAATCTGCAGACCCATCTCCCATCTTATCAAAACGATAAGCCGTGCTTGGCACTGACTCCGCAGCACTGTGAAACCCGGCCCTACTGCCTCATCCCCCCCTCCATTGCCGCTTTTATCCCTTCACATTTACTTGCATTGACTTTCCTGGTTAAGCATTTGCATATGACCTAAGGGGTACTTGGGGTGATGATACAGATCAGTTCAACTTCATCTTGAACGATCTGCCCTTGTACACCTCTCTCCCTTGTCATCCAAATACGCACCGCGAAACCACGCTTACCTCCCTCGTGCACCCACCTTGCTGCAGATATTTCCCGAAAATCACATTCAACTGCCAGTATTCAGAGAAAAAGGGTCCTAGGACTGCTGACTGATCAAAGACTGGCTGCATCTGTGGACCGGACTTGCCTGTTCCAGTCTCACATGCACCGCCCATGCAGAGTTACCTGAAGTTATGAGATTTCAACCATACCGACACCCGAAAAATATATTGAAGCGAACTTCAAAAAGCGAATCTACCCCGAACAGGATGCATCGGCAACGAGAAGCCGATCGATGCTCAAGTGCAGCCCCTTCCGAAACCTCTGGGTCAACGTCACCTGAACGTGCCGCCGATGATGACACCGATTTCTTCATGGCCCAGACCAACGACTCGCAATCCTCCATCGGTGTGGCCAATTTCCGCGATTCTCGCCTGTCAAGTGAACAATCCGAGCCATTGCCGCCGATCGGCCGCCTCCCACCCGAGATTCTGATCGCGATTTTCTCGAAACTGGTTGCGCCTTCAGATATGCTAAACTCCATGCTGGTGTGTCGAGGGTGGGCTGCAAACTCTGTAGGTATACTGTGGCATCGGCCGACTTGCAACACCTGGGCCAATGTGAGAAGCGTGACTACATCGTTGGGGAAGCCAGACAGTCTTTTCAACTACGCAGACCTTATCAAGAGACTGAATCTATCTGCTCTGTCAGATGATGTCAGCGATGGAACTATTCTCTCTTTCAACCAGTGCAAACGGATTGAGCGGTTGACGTTAACAAGCTGCAAGAACTTGACGGATAAGGGTGTGTCGGACTTGGTGGAGGGGAACCGGCATCTGCAAGCACTGGATGTTTCAGAATTGCGACACCTTACAGACCACACGCTCGCCACTGTATCCAGGGATTGTCCCCGTCTGCAAGGCTTGAACATCACAGGATGTTCAAAAATCACCGACGATGCTTTGCTCATTGTATCACAGAAGTGCCGTCAAATCAAAAGGGTATGTAGATTCATTGTGGGACATTGGATGGATTCCCAAGCGCTAATTGCATAATAGTTGAAACTCAATGGAGTTTCTAATGTCTCAGACCGGGCCATTCAGTCTTTTGCTGAGAACTGCCCATCTATACTGGAAATCGACTTGCATGACTGCAAACTTGTCACTAGCATATCAGTGACTCCGTTGCTTACGACACTGCGGCATCTCCGAGAGCTGAGGCTCGCACACTGCATCGAAATCGACGACAGTGCGTTCCTGTCGTTACCTTGTCAAATGACCTTTGACAGCCTTCGTATCCTGGATCTCACTGCATGCGAGAACGTTAGGGATGACTCAGTGGAGCGAATCGTGCGTGCAGCTCCTCGTTTGCGGAATCTGGTACTGGCAAAATGCCGTTTTATCACCGATCGATCTGTGATGGCCATTTGCAGGCTAGGAAAAAACCTCCACTACGTGCATCTGGGACACTGTTCGAACATATCGGACTCGGCCGTGATAAACTTGGTCAGGTCCTGCAACCGCATTCGATACATCGACCTGGCCTGCTGCAATCTCCTAACGGACCGTAGTGTACAGCAATTGGCAACCTTGCCGAAGCTCCGAAGAATCGGGCTAGTCAAATGTCAGGCAATCACCGATCTGAGTATATTAGCGTTGGCACGGCCCAAATTGGGTCATCATCCCTCCGTCAGCAGTCTAGAGCGTGTGCACCTTAGTTATTGCGTTCAGTTGAGAATGAAGGTGAGTCTTGGTCAAAAATCCTGGGGTACATGATGTGCAACACTGACATTACGAACTAGGGTATTCATGCTTTGCTAAATAGCTGCCCGCGCCTGACTCATTTGAGTTTGACTGGCGTCCAAGAGTTCCTACGAGAAAATCTCACCGCATTCTGCCGAGAAGCTCCCCCAGAGTTCACGCAACAACAACGGGACGTCTTTTGTGTGTTCAGCGGTGATGGTGTTAATCGACTCCGGGACCACTTGAACCGAAGTGAACCACACTTTCATGAAGAAGCCGAAGCCACGATGTACGATGACGACGAAGAATTGGATGAAGATGAAGGCCATATGACTGGGCTGATGAACGCAACTGTCATCAACGACGGAGATGACGATTATATCGACGTTGGGCCTTTGAACACTTGATACGATACCCCTTTCTTTGTAGTCGAAATAAGCACAGGCCCTCAGATTTCTTCCTTCCATTCACTCCCCTGTTTTCTTTGTCCGCGATCCCTATCTGGATCAAACAGGCAGACATATTTCTACCCATATGAGCAAAGATCACCTCATCCTTCTTTCTTTGTCATTGTGGGAAATGCATTAGTACGCTAGCGGTTACGGACTTGGATTTTTTTTTTGTCAATGTGTAATCGCATAGAATTTAAGCAATTCTCCTTTCTCTCACTTAATTCGCCGGACTGCAGTTGCGTTGGTGGACTTGCGCAACACATGTGTACATGTCCACGAATGTACGTAACAAGTTATGTACCGTAATGACGGTAACACCAGCTACCCCCGCATTTGCCTTTAATTCAACTCCAACTTCAACCTCCACTCCACCCATTCTCTCTTGGCTTAAATAGCACAGGGTATGGCTACCTACAAGGCCAGAAATCCTCTGGCATTCACGCCGTGGCCGGTAACAATAATCACCACGGCCGTGTACCTCGCCTTGATCATCCCACTGCTGGTGATCCACCTCAACGTACCATCCGCGCCCCAGACGAGCCCCAACGGCCTCAACCTCACAGAGGCATGGCAAGATCTTCAAAGCCTGACAAAAGGCTTTCACCCCTACAACTCGCACCAGAATGATGAGGTCCGCTTGTGGTTGCTCGAGCGCATCGACGCGATTAAGCAGTCCGCCCTATCCACCGAGGAATACCATCACGCGAAGGTGGAGAAGCCCGACGTTTTTGTGTTCGACGACCTGGTGTCTAATTTGACTTTCATTGATAAAAGTGTCGGCGTTTACTTTGAAGGAACCAACATCCTCGTCTACATTCGCGGCTCGGAAGATAGTAAACAGAATTGGTGGGAAACTCCCGGCCAGATGCCCATCGGCAAAGGAGGAGTACTTGTCAACGCGCACTACGACAGTGTTTCGACCGGGTATGGAGCGACAGACGACGGGGTCGGTGTTGTGACGTGTCTGCAGTTGGTGAAATACTTCCTGACACCGGGCCATGCGCCGCGCCGCGGATTGGTGCTTCTCTTCAACAATGGCGAGGAAGACTATCTTAACGGCGCACGCGCGTACAGCCAGCATCCGATGGCGCGCTTTGCGCACACATTTCTGAACCTGGAGGGTGCAGGCGCTGGAGGTCGTGCGACATTATTCCGCAGCTCGGACACGGAGGTTACCCAGGCGTATGCGAAATCACAGCACCCATTCGGCTCGGTGTTGAGTGCCAATGGATTCGAAAAGGGGTTTGTCAGCAGCCAGACGGACTATGTTATCCTGGACGGTATCTTGGGCCTGCGTGGTCTGGATGTCGCTTTCTTTGAACCTAGGGCTCGTTATCACACTGATCAGGATGATGCCCGACACACCAGTGTCGACTCGCTTTGGCATATGCTCTCTACTGCTGTTGCTACGACAGAGGAGCTTGTGTCTGACCACACTGATCGGTTCGATGGACATCTCCGCGATGATGGAACTGTGCCTAGCGGCTTAGGTACCCGGGCTGTTTGGTTCGATCTTTTTGGAAGTGCTTTTGCCGTGTTCCGTTTGCACACTCTCTTTGCGTTGTCTGTCACACTGCTGATTGTGGCGCCGTTGACATTGCTGGTCACCAGTATCATTCTTTCCAAGGCTGACAAGATGTATCTCTTTCGCTCATCGGCGTATTCAGAGCTCAACCACGACACCATTCCATTGCGTGGTTTGCGTGGTTTCTTCAGATTCCCGTTCTTGATCTCAATTCCAACAGCAGTGACAGTCGGGTTGGCTTATATGGTGACGAAAGTAAACCCTTTGATTGCCCACAGCAGTTCATATGCCGTATGGAGTATGATGATCTCAGCCTGGGTTTTCTTAGCTTGGTTTGTATCTCGCGTTGCAGACTTTGCGCGCCCATCAGCCTTTCATCGAGTCTACGCCTGGACTTGGATGTTTGTTCTTACCTGGTCTCTCATGGTAGTTGGCACCGTTTATGAGAACGAGGAAGGGCTCGCTGGTGGCTATTTCATGTTCTTCTACTTTGCCAGTACCTTCTTGGCCACATGGATCTCCTATCTGGAGTTGTTCTCTTTGCCAACGAAGTCAGAGTACGTCGGTAGATTAGCTGGATCACGACGGCCTAGTACCCAGGGAAGTCGCCTTGCTGCATCGGGCGACGAGCACGAGGACGATGATGCCGAAGAAGACCCGACTGAGTCAACGTCGCTCTTGCATGGCCGACACCGCCCCACCTTTGCCAACTATGTCCGCGTTGGGGTAGACCGCGCATCTCATGAACTAGATGACGAGGAAGAAGAGAAAGACCCGAACGTGTATGCACACGAGCAGGGGTGGAGTGGCGTGTTGCCGCGATGGACCTGGCTGTTGCAGCTGCTCATCACAGCTCCCGTAATTCTCATACTGATCGTGCCGCTGGCTCTTCTGATTACCAGCGCTCTCAGCCAGACCGGTCAAGACGGTAGCCCCCAACTGATTGTGTATCTCTTCATTGCCTGTCTCACTGCACTCCTTTTTGCACCCATGCTCCCATTGATCCACCGCTACACATACCACCTACCTATCTTCCTGCTTTTTGTTTTCATCGGAACAATGATTTACAACCTCGTCGCCTTCCCATTCGCAGACTCCAACCGCCTGAAGCTATTCTTCCTGCAAGAGGTCGATCTCGACAGCGGTATCTCTACTGCTTCACTGACTGGCATGCCTCCGTTTGCCAAGGATGTCACCTACGGGCTCCCTAGCGCAGCTGGCCAAAATAAGACCTGTGAATGGATTTTCCGAGGCAGAAACAAACTCCAGCGATGCTCCTGGAGTGCACCAGTACCGCACGTTGTTCCCAGTGCTGACTCTCTGCTTGCGGCTTCTGAGCTGTCGCCGAATTGGATTTCCTTCGGCATTTCCCACCCTCATCCGGACAGTTCCATTGTCCGATTCGAAGTATCAGGCCAAAACACACGTAACTGCCGTATCAACATGGACGGAAACTACATCGCGAACTTCAGTGTGGTTGGCTCCTCTGCTCCGGATCACCGCTTCCTGAACCCGTCCCCAGATGGTCTGAACCGGATCCAACTGTGGAGCCGTACATGGGACAACAAGTGGACCGTGGATGTCGATTTCTCGAAGCATGACTCGCCTAAGGCCGATGAGGTTGGCGAGTCCTCTATCACGGGCCGCATCACCTGCCTATGGAGCGACAATAACCGAATCGGTCTCATCCCCGCTCTCGACGAGGTGAGACAGTTCAGTCCGGCATGGGTGGCTGTCACGAAGTTCTCTGATGGATTGATTGAAGGATCCCGAGCATTTGAGATTGAGCGTCCGAGCCTGGGAGCTTCGAGGTCTTGAGTCTTGGTGGTAGGAGGGACCTAGTCTCTATCACTTTATTCTATGTATGATTTACGAGCTACTTCGTTTTTTCATACATCTCTTTCATTATGCTGTGCTTTGCTATGTATCATTCCACTGATGGCCATTTGTTGATTTATATTTTGGTCGAGACATTACATACCCTTTGACTACACCTTCTTAACGCACGCGTTTCGCTGTGTGACAACATCTCTACCCGGAGTAAAAAAAAGGATTTTTTGTTTCCCAAGTACGTAGTTAAAGCATAATCGGGGTCTCGTGGTAGATGTGTAGGTCATGTTGGAGGCCGGATGGGAGCTTAGCTTCAAAAGAAGTGGATGAGACGGAAGAATCAGAAGAGAACACTGCAATTGGGAACGCAGAAAAAAAGTTTTAACTGGGAACCACGAAAGATGCCCACTCATCTCATCTTGTCAATCTTGTTAACTTCCATGGTATGAGTCTTTGCACCGGGGGTTGAAGGGAAATTTTAGCAACACATTGCCTCAACTGCCTTGATTTGGGCTGTTTCATCACATCGATAAAAAGAACTTGGTAAATGAATATGATTTAAAGAGACTGTTTTACAAGAAAAATGGTGGGGGGTTGGAAGGGCGAGGCTGTTGAGTGGCATAGAACCCATGGGGCTAGAGAGACTCCAGAATATCCAATCCAACCTTGGAACCTCGGAGCATTAAGCCTCAAGTCAAACCCATCTGAGCTTTGAAGCATTCCGCGAACATGAACTTATAGGGGTTTAAGTTCTTTCTATCTACAACATTCATCCCGGAGAGACCCAGGGATATCTGGATGTGGCCAAGCGTTGGCCCTCACCAGATCTGTTGATGTCATCGGGAACTCCCTGGCGCGTGACTTGCTTACTAACATGGCCCTCCAGATGATTTTAGATGAGAGAGAGAGAGAACGTCCACTGTTGCGAACACGCCGAATCAGATTTGATTGCTCCAGACTCATTCAGAATCCTTCACCCAATGATGCTCTTCTCGAAACCCAAGCAGCGCCTTAATATTCCAATTACTGATGGGAACCCCTCTATAGCCCCCAATTCTCGCGTAACCGGGACGTGGGGACAAACCCGCGCCAGGAACTCAGTACTGCGTAGTGTTCTCGAAATTCGTAATTTCGCCATTGATACCAATGTCTCTCTAGGTGGATGGATTGATGTCAACGCCGTAGGTGTTGGAGTAGATACGTGGCTAGCCAAGATACTCTAATAGAGAACGAAAGGCTCTCAGATGCATTTGAAAGGACAGTCTTCGCCTTTGCTGTAAGTGAAGCGGAGACTTCCGGATGAGTAGAATGATACCTATTGCTACTTTGGAAGAAGACTTAGCTCTTGCGGCTTTTGTACTCGATGTAGAGCTTGAGCGATCGAAAAGAGAGGCGTTGTATCAAAAATGTCAATGTGTAATGATCTCTTTCTTTATTCGAACAAAGTAGTCAACCCACCTTATCTACAGCATTATTTAGGGTAGAAGTTTTTGAACCCAGAAAAATTTATAGATCTGCGTTGGACATGACCCCAAAGAGCACGGGTAACGCTCTCGTTGATGGCTTGCGTCGGTTGGCACTTTTAGTTGCTTACTTGCCTGGGTCGCCAGATATTCAAGGCAAATCTCGTCCCAATAATCAAGGATTTGCTTCCTATACGGGCGACCAGTGCCAAGTATGCAGGGTCCTCGCCGACGACTGAGAAATATGTACATTGTACGTTTGCACTTTTGATTGCAAGCTAAATTCGATGCTCCATGTGTGTCTGGCGCGCAAGCTTTCAAGCTCTTTGTAAAAGATCTTGAAGAGGTTCAAAATGAGTAGTAAGGGCCAAAAGCGAGTTGTTGGCGAGGAAAGGCTTGCATGAGCAGAGGGCCCAGAAAGGAGCCCTCGGCTTTCCCGTCTCCCCTTTGCAGGGCTTGCTCCAGATCACACGAACTTTTGTAACAAACTGTAGGCTTCTGATCGGCCCATCTGCAATCTTTCACAACGCAGTGCCCAGGAGTCCCAACACCTTTAGTAAGTCATGGTTGCGGCCTGGGGATGCAAAAAGCTGGGTACGTAAGCCCAGTCAAGGCCCTGGCCCGGCATTCTATGATGCAGGCATGACGAAGGACGGCAAATTCAACTCCTTTGTTTTGACGGGGTTAGGAGAACTGAGCCACCTACTCCCAGACAGCCCTAGTCAATGCTGGTTACCCTGATAGTATTTCACACCTGCTTTATCTTGTTTGACAATCATAGTCGCCAAGTAATACCACACAGCGCATACTCTGATGAGTATATTCACAGCGATGCTTTGGATAATGTGCTCTTGCGGATAGTCTCAACTAGAATACCCGCTACGGCCTTCATCCCATCAAGATTCGGATGGAGAAGCGGCCCCAACTCAAATCCTCCAACCCAGGGCTCTTTGCTGCCAAGTGCATGTTCCTGGCTGAGTTGGTGAATAGGGACTGTCTCACACCAATCGGTTCGGCCTTCCACAGCAACAGTATATGCACGTTGTAGAACAGACGCCACACCGCGGTAATGTTGGATTCTCTCTTGGGTCAGTGGGATATCCCCACTAGTTTGAGTGCCAGGTCCCAGAACAGCAAGATATTCGACAAGGAAGATTCGAGCTCCTGGGGCCTTTTTGTGTATCTGGTCGAGGACTCCCCCTAGCCGTTCTGCCAATTCGCTTGGTGATAGTGACATGGACGATTGGAGCTCGGCATCGCAAGCATCGGCGATCATGCCGCCGATATAATTTATGTCATTTCCTCCAGCAGTCACAGTGATGATGTTGGCATCTTCGGGGAGGTCGGAGATTTGCGGTGGGAAGGTCATATTGAATGGAGTAGACTGTGAATCGACTGTTATGTTGAGCAACGTTGCACCAGAAACAGACAGATCAGTGAGATCAGCTCCCAAGTGCTGCGCCAGAAGATGGGGGTAATTCTGCCCTGACCGCAATGCAGCATGTGGTTCGATTTGGGGGGGAATGTCAGGGCCAGCGGCAAAGGAGCTGCCCAGACTTGCAATTTTGAATCTCTTTTGAAATTCCATGGTCATGGTCAGATGTTCCCGCACATAGAAGAGCAGAGGAGCAGGGTAGGGCAGTGTGGCTTGACTTGTCGTTGGAGAACGTAGCGTTGGCAGAAACCACGGTTGGGAGAAAGTGGATGCCTAAAATATAAGGCCTAGCTACTCACCCAAAGCCCTTGAAACTCTTTTTATCTAAGCCCCTCCCCCAGCAACATTCGAGAGAACAGCCTGATATTTGCCCGACTTGTGTAGTTCCACAAATTTGGCTGGTAAAACGCAGTGCCAATTATACTGTGATGTTTGAACAACGTAAAAAAAAAAAGGGTAGAATTTGCCTATGTGTGATTTCTTTGTGCTTTTGACACGGACTGCCTACTTTGCGGCTGGCACCGTGAGCGCTACAAGTTCTTATTTCCTGAAGGCTCTAGTGAGTCATTGCGGAGATGCAAAACATAGTTCCGACACTATGATAGGGCAAGAACTATCGTCGTGATTGGATTAATAGGATTGTCCAAGTCTCTGCATGAACTAGGGGGCCTAGGTCCTGGTCAAGTGTCAGGCAAGAGTACTATCTCCATCACTGCTCTCAGGAAGCTTTCTTTGGTGGGCGGACCGGGGTTCAAGGCGAGAAGCACAGTTTGATTAGTGGAGGGCAGCCATCGTGTGATATTATCGGAAAGGTCATTTGGATCTTCCAGGTGGAAGTTTGCACGCCACGTTTGTCACCAACCGCTTGTATCCCCTTCGGTCTGCCGCAATATCAGCAGATTAGCACAGGACTGGGACTTTTGCTACTGCATCTTAGTTTCCTTTGATAAGATTAGAGTTCGAGGAGACTTCGATATTGTTTAGAAGAGATCACACAGGAGAACAAATCTCACCGGGTGAGGGAAGTGGGAAATCGTTGAGAGGGGACGTGTCTCCTCAGCCTCCAATGTGCAATGAAATAGATTCAAGTCGAATACAAATGTAGACTGGCGCTTTTATCCCAAATTTCCAACTTTGCCAGTCTGATGAGCGAAACTTATTCTCCACTGTTGGAGGCCCAACATACTTCTTGTACCTCCAGGCCCAGTACCATCCAGACGCAAGTAGCGTAAACGCAACCAACACCACCGGTGCGTAATTGACCGGTTCTGCATTCACAGGGATTGTAGAAGGCATGCAAAATAATGGAATGACAAGAATGCTCCATCCTAAAAATGAAGATGCAGTTGGCAATGGCAATAAATCGTGCTAGATTTTCCATGCTTGCCCAATGCCACAATATTGCAAGCCAGCCCGAGTGTACCAAGGTCAAATTGACCATTTCTTATCTGCCTTCGACCTCCAGCAATAGACACAGCAATTGGACAAGCATACCTGATAGTCAAGATTATAACCCGGACGCCCGTGAAAGCATTGAATGCATTGAATGCATTGAATGCATTGAATGCATTGAATGCATTGAATGCAGTAGTTGAGCCGAAGTCAATGAATTCAAGTTATGTTTGTACAACCATACCAAGCATCATAGCATTAAAAGGTTCCCTGTCTCTGTTTACCTGCCTCCGCCACATGGAGCCTGATATACGCCCATTGCGAGCAAACACTCATGTGCTTCGGGAGACTGCAGTGGTACAACCTATGACATAGAATAGAGAGAGCACTATCAATGGCAGAAGAAGCAAGAATGATCCCACTGGACTTCCAATCGCGGATTTGATAATACTCGGAACTGATTGACCATATTCGAAAGCCGCCAAAACCTTTGTGTCGGGGAGCACAAAAACCAATGAATAAGGAAGAGAAATCCGGCCAGGGTGTTTATAATAACCGTTTGAACTATTGCTTTGGGACTTGTGTTGAGGGTTGCTGGATTCCATCACACATGCTTTGAAGAATCAGTCAAACGCTTTTCACAGTGTGTAATGAGACAGGAGATGTTGCTCTGTGGTAGAAATCAATGTTATCTACCAAATTACCATGCCAGTAGAGGAAGTGCTATAGGCTCCTGGAGCAGATTTGGAAACATTGATCCATACAGCGAGAAAAAGAGTACTCCCTAAATTGACTGCAAGTGTGATAGTGATATTTCCAACAATATCTGACCAACCGCAGATCCACGAGGCAATTCTTCGATATGAAGGTGAAGATAGCATAAAGGTTTGGTAGTAGACCCCTCCAGCAGTTGGATAGACCGAGGTTATTTCGCCGAGTAAGGCAGCCACACACGTAGTAGTCAAATAGACGGCAAGCCATCCCCAAACATTGTTGACGGGGCCTCCCCGAACGAGAGGGTAGGTGAAAGTCGTAGCCATTCCGTACGGAATTGTTGCGAGTATGAAGAACATGAAAACTACCTGAAGCGTGGAGCGATTTTAAACAAGTTCAGGCTCGTAGCCTAGAGCTTCCAGTGCCCCATATACTGAAGTTTGCTTGCCTTCTTCGATGCTGAGAAATTCCTCTGGTGGATGGGGCTTGGATCATTTCGTCTTCGAAGAACGACGAATCTGGGCGCCGATTTCGTCTGCCATAACAGAAGTTCCACGAAATTGGGACGAGTAAAAAAAAGAGACAAAGTCTCCTAGAGAGAAGTTCTATAGCAAAGCTAGGTCAGAATTCTGAGCTTCAGGCATTCAACCCCCGAGTTTAGCCAAATAACCACACCTTGAGAGGAATTTTGGGACACAATAACCATTAAGAATCTGGGAAACTTATCTCCTCTTCTGGTCAGGGGGGAGTCCTGCACGTAACTACTCATTAACGCTTGAGCATATTGACGATTGAGGATAAATTTTACTCAAAGCGCTGTCCCATATCTCTCCAAAGTACGTTCCCTAACAAGGTATCATCCACCAAGTGTAGAACTGGATTTACGCCGAGATAACATTTGTCAGGAAGTTTCAATGGCTTTAGGTAGTCACATCTGACATGAAGATAAGACGAGCAGAGAGATTAGACAGCACGTCTGAGCTGAACCATAGATGATCCTCTCCATGGAAGACTCAAGATTAACTGCCCAGGCTAGTACAAAATAGGCTAGAGCCTTAACCCTAATGCGTGGTGGCTCCGCTATACCAAATGAGGATGTGGCCTCCATGTAGATCCCTCCCGAGCCGTCCATGTTGTACTTACCCACGCTGTGAGAGATACATGGATTTAAATTAGGATTGATTGGTTCGGAGGCTAGTCTAGGATGGCTCGACAGTTGACATTGATAAGGGGATATAACCAAACTACGAACTCTCGGTAGGCCAATATCGTAGCATCGAGGAGTTTTAACCGGCTGGAGTTACCCGTTCAAGATTCCCCTCCCAACAGAATAAAATAAAAAAGACATTCTTCTCCGCAAACATGATGTCATAATAAGACACAGTGCGGAGAGAAATCAATCCAGACGCGGTTGCCATTGACTGATAATTGTCACGTGGGGCATTCTGTTTTTCACACCAAGAACGAAGTGGAATTTTCGAAACGTGGAGGGCTCCTCCCCAAGAATGAATGTTACAATCTGCCCCGTTCTAAAAATTCGCAAGGTGTCAGATCTAAACTCTCACATGCCAATCCCCGTAACCTTCCAAGTCATGTCCATAAAAGAAATACTTGATACCCACCTAGGATAGTGATAAGTGACAGAAATCTGACTGTATGAAATGTATTTGTTGAAATGACAGGTATCAAATTCTCTAGTATGTCAAGCAGCCATACAACCTAATGTTTGACAGGTTGATGGTTTGGTGTCGTATGCCATCTGGTGCAGCATGCTTCATGAGCTCTTTCCATGGTATGAACCATTCATTGTCACGCTTTGTGGGTGTCCTATTCAGGATATATGCTGCAGTATTGACTGTTTCAGGCCATAAGTTGTGTGGTAGCTCTGTGTCGTTGATCAATGCTCTCGCAGTTCGAACTACCAACCCCCCAGATCTCTCGGCAGGACCGTTCATCTCTGGTAGGTTAGGTGGTGAGTGCTCGATGGTACACCCTTCGGCTTCTATCATTGCTTCCACTTCGTGACCGGCGCTTCGCTTGTTGTTGTAGTGGAACACTCTGATCTCGATTTTTAACCAGTTTCTCACTAGCGCTCGGAACTTCCTAACCGCCATCTGGCATTCATTCTTCCTTGTGTGTGTGAACACAAAGTGGCACTTAATACCATCAAGGTAGAAATGTGTTAACCAGATATGGCCGTTGTATGCTGGCTGATTTTGAACCAGGTCGAAGTGTACTCGTCCAAATACACCATATTTCTGGCCTATATGCCGGCGAGAGATCTGCTTCGGGGCGTCTGCCAATTGACAAGCTTCGCATGCCTGCTTCTCTTTGCCAGGGTTACTTTCAATGGTGATCCCTTCAGTCATTTCTGCCAGCTTAGCAATGCGCTGTTGACCAATGTGGCCTAGGCGCCTATGCCAGGTGTGAGTTGAAGCTTTAGCTCTTGGTTCCTGAGCTGACTTCTTCATCTCTGAATATTTGGTTGCAAACATCAAGTCGTCTGGTGTCAATGTTGGGTACTGAAGCCCCTTCGGTTGCGTGAGCCAGGTAAGCTTTTGCTCTTGGTACACTTGGTATACCGCTTTACCTTCTCTTGTCTCGATGCAGTTTGTCCTGAAGTTCACCAGTACTCCCCCTTTCATCATCAATCCATGGGATATCAGATTACTGTGGAAATTGGGAGAGTATCTCACATCGTAGAGCTCCATTCTCACTGCCTTTCCATTGCTAGGGTTGACACCATAGATGTCGACAGTGCCTACCCCGTCGACCAAATACATTTCATACAGTCAGATTTCTGTCAATAAGTACCTGGTGGAGCGTATGGCCATCTTTAGAGATGTTGATGGCCTAAAGGTCACCCAATGAGAAGTTTATTACAAATGCTTGAAACGTCTCTGGTCACGCGCATGCTGAATTAAAAGCGCTAGTACATATTAGGAAAAATAATCCGCTCCAAAGCGTATCTTTGAACCTTTTTTGGATTAGCGCAAAAGGAAGGTGCGGGGAGATAAAGTCAGCCGCTTCAAACCAATCGGGGGAGTATCAAAGATGAGGCGTTGCTTATCGGCAGGTGATCGGATCCCGGTTCATACACCGGCCTTCGAGTACTTCGATCGGGTTCTCATCCGATCCCCCATTATCTCAGACGTTTTTTCCTCTTTCAGCGAAACATTTCCAAATATCTTTGCTTTAGGGATCATGGAGAACACAAAGAGATTAGCTTCTTCGCAAAAGAAAAGGCAGAATCCCAACCGGTGCCGACCAAAATCAAGAGGGGGCTGCCAGAGGTGCAAGCAGCGGCGAGTAAGTCGAGGTGAAAGATACACAGTTGCTCCTTCATCTATGAAGGCCTTCTTTGGATTCCAAAAATTAATACTTGTTCAGCGCAGATGTGATGAGGCAAAGCCAAGCTGTCAGGAATGTACCAAGCGAGGACACATTTGCCCCGGTTACCAAAAGCAGAGCTTGCAGTGGCGACATGTTTTCAAAAGCAGCGAAGACCCAAATCAGCCAGCACCACCGATTGAGCCTCCCGAATCGGCCGCGACCGAGTGTTCCGAAGTGAACAATCCTATGCAGGAGGAAAAAGTCAATATTCAAAATGAACCCCAGAATATCTGGGATACGGCCAGCCCAAACCTATTTGATCAACTGCCGGATTTTGATGAGCCAACAGATGCCTGGTTCTATACCGAGCCAGGATCTATTGGCACGGCTTTAGTGAAACCTGATGCCAAATTAGATGGATTGTCGATTCTGCGCCAACGACTGGCCAATACATCGGTCCCCTCCTTTCTCATCCAACTACCAGTGATGTTGGTGCAATATTACTTTCATACGGTTTGTAACCAATGGTCATCTTTTGACTGTCCTCTCAATCCTTTCCGAATTATTGTTAGCCGGCTCTGGAGTCGAAATGCGGCAATTTACTTTGCTATCCAGAGCATGTCAGCTGCCTCGTTGGCTAACGATTTTCCAACCATGCGAGCCATCGGAATACAGACACAGCAGCAAGCAATCGCGTGCCTGAATAACAGTGTCCAAAAGGATTCCACTCAGAAAGATGATGAATACTTTCTGGCACTGCTCATGATTGGATCCACCACTGGATGGCACAATGCTTCCGATTTGGGGCTTCCATATCTGAGAGCGGCTCAAGATCACCTTCTGAAACAAGAGCGCGAGTGTAAGAATGCAAACTCTGCCCTCGCAAAACAACATCCACTTTTCAAACAGTGCCTCCTTTGGTGGAACCTACTAGCTGCCTTTGTGGCAGAAGAGTCGCCTATTCTGGACGTGGACAGCTATATAGAAAACAGCGACTCAGATCTCTCAGTCTATCTTGTCGATGGACAGGTCTTACCGCATCCATGGACTGGATCTTTCAGATACTCATTGAGTCTCTTCTATCGAACTGCAAGAGTAGTTCGGGCCGCAAGAACTTCCCACCGCCGAATACCAGCAGCTTTGGATCCCGCTTTGCTTGACTTGAGCTCCATGGCTGAAGAACTCGATCTCAGACAGAAAGCCGAGCAACTTGAGGACAAAATTCTTTTTACGGGCTTCTCATTCTATTGTGGGCCTGTCGACATCGGCGATTCAAACACCCCACCTTCGCATTTTCTTACGTTGGCCGAGGCATATCGCTGTACAGCACTGTTGCAAATTTACCATGTCTTCCCATACATCCTTGAGGAACGACTACGATCTAATCAAACCGCGGATAGCGAAAATCCGATCCCGGCCCTCTTTTTGCTATTGTTCCCAATAGCCGCTGAATGGTCATCGTGCTCGGTGGATGACGCACGACACACCCTGGCACTTCACATTGTATCCCTTTTGGAGCAGCTTCCTTCAACATCTGGAACAAAGGTTTTGCAGCCCGTAGTTTTGGCTTGCATCTCTAGTGACCTTGTGTTCTCGTCCGGGTCTGTGCTTGGCGCCACAGAAAATGCGATTCCCAATCTGAATACACTGGATGTTGAAATTGCCCAGGCCAGACGAAAGGTTAAAATGCGGTTGTCTGAGCTGATCTTAATTCTACCAAAACTACCAATGCAACGCATCTATAAAGTTGTGCATGAGACTTGGGATCGTGCAGACTCTGGTTTAGAAGAGTTCTGGCTGGATGTTATGTTGGATTTGAATTTGGAAACTATTATGGGATAGGCTCAGCGTTGCATACAAAGTCTTGTTTTTCTAGCCAATGTATTGATCTGTTACCAACATTTTCGATTTGAATCCCCTTGATGAAATCTTTTTCAGAAAACGCTTTAATCTTATAGATGACTCGCCCATGAATGTCACTTAATGACCACCTGGCCTATTATTTAAGTCCAAAAACGCTCGGATGACAAATTGAAGGATGAGATGACAGCATTTCTATTATGGTATGGGCTCGAGAATGAGATTGTAGCTACGGTTATGGTCCTCCTTAGCGTTATGATTTCGCCAACCATGAGAACGTTGTCAACATCAACCATTGAACTGACAAGTCCAAGACACATCTGGAAGGATGTCACTCGTGTTGCATGGATACATCAAACGCCAAATTGATGTGATCACCTTGATGATGGATCACACGATGCAACGAAACGAACCTCCCAGTGAGGCACTATCAACCAATCATCTCTTTGTCCTCGACACTGAGAAGCTTCTCTGTACTGACCGAAGGCCTTCAAGTCTAATGGCATACTATCGCTCTACCCCAAAGATGGTAGACAACCACGAAACCCTTGGCCTCTGTGCCAGCTTTGCAGTCAATGAACCGAAAGCATGGAGACTCTAGCCAGAAATCTACCTGGGGCTACAATAACTTCCGAGCCACCAATTATCCCCAAAAGAAACACTGGGTCGTGTGCCAAAGTGACACGCTAGTGGTAGTGAAGCCTATTGCACTTTCTTTGCAGCAATGATTGTATGAACCTGAAATTGCATCTGCATACATTCTTGTGACTGGATAATAAAGCTTAAACGTCTACGGAGTGTGATTTGAAATGGCCCAAGGCAAGACCAGACCGACCCTCCATCATATCTATGCAACCTAATACATTGGCCAACCACCGCTTGCATTGATGACCTGGCCGGATACCCATGAGGCATCGGGTCCTGCCAACCATCCAACGATTCTCCCAATATCCTCCGTTGTGCCAAGTCACTGCTCGATAAATGTCGTCATTTTCTACATTTTGGCACTTTCCTCGGGGATGTTGTCCAGCATATCGCTAGGTACAGATCCTGGCGCCACAGTATTGACTGTCATGTCATCCCCGCCCAGCTCACTGGCCTCGGTGTGGATGAAGCTTTCGACAGTGGCCTTGGAAGCGCTGAAGAGGCTGATCATAGCCCTCAGTTTTTCGACAAGCAATCAATTTGCTTCGGTCTGAGATCTAGGTGATGGACACCGGGCTCTCGAGTTCTCGTTTTCCAACAATACCAATTAAAATAATGACTGCGCAAGATTGTAAATTCTTCCTTACAGTCGCACGGCGGGCAAGCTCCCATGCAATGCCAGCACCAATTCCACGAGATGATCCCATTAGTATCGCTCGCTTGCTTTGGAAAGGAAGGGCGAAATGGCTTGCGAGGTCCCCCATTGTGTCGGACGTTAAGGATGATGCTAGTTTGCGAAGATCCGCGATTCAAATTGAGGTCCACTGTTCCTTTAGATTTTTCTTGGGATAAAAAGGGAGAGATGTCTAATGGAGAGTTTTCAAAGGGACTGCAGCGCCAGCATTCTTGAACTCCGTCTATTTGTTGTTTAATGACGTCTTTGAATTGGGATTCGGTGATAGGGCGTTAACGACGAGATTGGAGGGAAGGTCATGTGCCGGTGTATTAGGGCGCCATTAGGACCTGCTCACTTAGCTGGTTAGCGGCTTAGGCCAGTCCAGTGGTACGGATTAGATACAACTCTACCACATTCAACCCCCGCTTGACCAAATTTATTTTTGGTCCAACATCCTTCTCTATATATTTGGCAACATTCCTCAAGATCGTTCAAGATTGCCGCCGGTTGAGGAGCATTGGAGATCAGACACACTTGATCCGAGATCATGTACGGTCTGCCGAGAGCGAGGGTAATAGTATTATCAAGCAAGTACAGATTGCCCCAGAGACGCCTTCTGGTTCCAGTGGATTTTCTCGATAACCCCCAGTTGTCTCAATCTATCTGCATGCCTTGTGGCTCGGCCATACGTATGGCAAAGCTGATGGCGAGCCAGCTCCCTGCGACTTGTCTGATGTGTAACAGATGTCGCGTAACCACCAAACCTGCTCTGGCACGATCCAAACTCTCGCCGTGGAAGGAGGGTAAGATGACGATCGCTGCCCTGATAGCCCAGGAAAAACAAAGAGATGCCTCTTCCCTTTCCTTCCGCTTTTCGGGCGATGAGATGGTAAGACACTCCAAGAGAACGCTAAAAGCGAGAATCATAAAAGAAAGAATAATCCAGCGAAGACCTACTCAGACAGTTTCTTCAAGTCCACAATAGGGGCACTAGAGTTCTGCATTTTGAGACGTGAAGAGTTCGGGGTGAACCGTATCAATAGCCCAGTTGATCTCGGTCAGGAAATCAATCAGCCCACCAACGGCCATTTCATTTCGTGGTAAGAGACCACACAAGTCCCAAACATGGATCAAAAGACCCAGAATCATTCAACATGATTGCAGGGAATCCTTGCTAGACAGCAGGCTCATAGGAGCAGATCGGAAGCTGACTCTGAATCATGCGGGCTGCCACCTGGTAACCAAAGAATTACAGAAGAAGCTATATGCTCGCCGTGCAAGATTCAGCTGCCCCAACATTGTGCCCTGAGTATCTGCTATAGGACTTCACTGTTAGCCATGATCAACGCTAGGTCGAGAGTCGAGTGCCACCCTATTTCTCTTTCTTCTATTGGTGTACATTGTTTCATGATCGAAAGGCAAGCAGCGAGTAGCCAGAAGTTGTTGAGTATTTGTTTCCTATTTAGTCTCCAATTGAACAAGAGTTGAACAAATCCATGTTTTTGTTTGCCGTTGATTGATGAATTATTATCACAAAACTCGAAAAGATACTGCCACGCATGTAATCTTTGTGGGCCTGCTTGTTTGCCTCAGATGTTAGGCCTTTCAGCTCTCAGAGTATGTAAAGAGCGAAGATAGATTAACCCGGAGTCGCCAAAGAAGACTAAGGAAACGGATCTGTCGAAAGAGTAAGATTAAAAGGTGAAAGATGAAGATCAAGAAAAGAGTGCTCCGTAATGAAAGTATGAAAGTAGCCAGGGAGATTAGTGCTGAGTCATCTGACGTCAAGCGCGTTGTTTACATTTTGGGCTCGCTTCGACTTTTGATGCCTCCTCACAGCCTACCTCGACCCAGTGACCCCCTGCACTGCTTCTTCACGCTATTGTAATCTGCTGATATCTGTTGATTCCTCGCATTCGCGTCTTTGATTATGGCGATCCGCCGTTCTGCGCGCATTCGTGCCAAGGGCACCCCGGAGGTAAGCAACATAGCAACAACACCTGTCGTGGGACATATTGAGGCCTTGCAATCCTAGAAATCACGGCAAACTAACTTGTATTGTTTTTTTGGGGTTTTTTCAGGTTGAAGACTTGACCCCTCAGCCAGTCGCAGCTTCCAGACTTTACTCTGTTGCCGAAGGCGAAGAGACTGACAGCTCTGAACTCCCACACTTCCAAACCCCCCTGAGGAAAACTCCTTCTCAAAAAACGCCTCGTGCGTCTATTCAGCAAAAGCGTGCTAGTATGAGGACACCGACTAGTGTGAC